AACAACGCTTTATTTTAGTTTAATTTTTAAATTTTTTTTTTTAAAACACTGAAAAAAAAAAAAAAAAAAAAAAAAAAATATATATATATATATATATATATATATATATATATATATATATATATATATATATATATATATATATTTTTTTTACACTTGGTATTGCAATACCAAGTGACTACAACATCAGGAAAAAGGAGCACGAGAAACTGGAGAAATACCAGGGCCTCAGAGAGGAACTGGAGAAGGCCTGGAAGGTGAAGACCACAGTGGTGCCTGTGGTCATCGGGGCCCTCGGGGCCCTCGGGGCAGTCACCCCCAAACTGGAGCAGTGGCTCAAACAGATCCCAGGAACAACATCAGACATCTCAGTCCACAAATGTGCAGTACTAGGCACAGTCAATATACTGCGCAGAACCCTCAAGCTCCCAGGCCTCTGGTAGAGGACCCGAGCTCAGAGGATGAAAGAGAGAGACCACCCGCGGAGGGTGAAAAGGGAATTTTTTTATATATATATATATGAATGAAGGATGCAGTTAAACTTTTTGAAGTCAGAGCTAAGTCATACTAAACAAGCCTCAAGCAAAACTGTAACTCTCCAGCCTTTGGCATAGCCTGACAAATGTACGCATAACGAGTTTGCAAAATAATCCAGAAGATCACTAGATATATGTAATGCATAGACATGTGTTCATTAATATTAATATCATTAATATATTTTGGCAAATATAAATAGTATTGTTGTTGTGTCTATCTATCATAGTCTGTATGAAAGCTGCCTCCAGCTCCAGCACCTCCCCCTCCCACCAAATCTTGCCTCGAGTCTCAACAGCAGTGAGTGGAGAGAGGACGAGGCTGCTAGATGGTTCCATTTAGAAGAACCCCGCTGATAATAGAAGTCTTCAGTCTTTGTCACTCTCTCCAGTGTGTTTCGTTCACCCTCTCTTTTCCTCCACCACTGCTTTTTAATGTTTTTTTGTTTGTTTTTTCCTAGCTGGCTTTACTGCCTCGCCACTGTCTGACATCACACTACTGCTTGACTTTAGAAAAGATGAATGCAAATAAGGTCCTGAATATATTTAAGGAAATTACTGATTTATTCATGAACTATTTATTGCTGTGAAAAACATTGTTAGTGCCTAAAGTCTAAAATACAAAACAAAGAAACAGAAGAAGCCTCAAGCCATAATCATTTTTCTTCTTCAAAGTGAAATGTGACAATGTTGAGATTTTAATTAATCAAAAAAACAACAAAAAAACTAATAAAAATAAATACAAATTCAGCACAAAAGATTTGAACACACTTTGACACTTTGAAATTAGGTTGAATAAATGTATCAATGTTTTGAAGTATATAGTAGTTTTCTGGTCTCCACCTCATTCTGCGTTGTTTACCTGAATGAAGAGGCTCCTCACCCTCTTACCGACGTTAAGCCTTGGAGGAAACATATTTAGCTTGCTTGTTTGTGGGATTTAATTTTGGCCATGATCGATATCTCATCAACATAGTTGAGGTTTTGAACATAAGAAAGGCTGGAAAATTGAAAGCTTTGCATTGCCGTCCCAACCTTTCATGACGTTCAGACAGATCAGGCAACAATCCATTCATACAGCTATCGTTTCATCATACAATTACTTTTGCACAAACCACCAGCCAGTCCTCCTGGGTAAGAATATTTTGAAAAGTTACTTTTGATCATATCACATCAAAAGAGCACTTCAAAGAACATGAGAAGTGTCAAAAGTGCTTAGAATGGAATACATTTTGAATTGGCTTTCTGATATGAACATAGATAAACATGTTTTTAATTTCTTCCTCTCGTTGTCATTTCTAGTTTCAAATCCAGTGCATCGCAAACACAAATTAAGCCAAGAACACAAAACACAGGAAATTGTGGATGTTCTGTCTAGAGCTGAATAACAATCAAACGAAATGAGTGTTTTAAGTTGGCGTTGTGTGCTGTAGCAAAATGCCCTACACTTTAATTTTTTGCTCAACCTAAGAGTTTCCAAACCACAGCTTTGATTAGATGTGTCTTCTTCTGCACTGCTGATTTAATTGCTGGTTGTGGGTGACCATCATTAAGGTCCAAATAACAGAGACTACCAAAGAATTACTGTTTGATAGCTAAACTTGCACACAATGAAACGCACTGCAGTTGGCAGAGTCGTGTTGTGAGGCAATGAAAAAGTCAGCCACTGAAGCCAGAACAGCTGTGCCCCCAGAGGCTTGCATCTGTGCCAATCTGATCTGGCAAAATTCTTCTCACACAGCCATGCACACACCAGGATCCATGGTCACACCAGCCAGCTACACCTTCTGCTAGAGCTGTCTGCAAACTGTTTGGAAAATCTGGGTTTGGCTGTAGAGAGAGATTGGACTTCTCATAAGTCGGATCATAGATGTCAGATTTTGCATTGAAGTCCTGCTTGTCAGCACTTGCATCTGTTCTCAAATGCTACCTAAATGTATGACGTTCAAAGATGAGACGTTATTCAGATCAAAACTGTAAATGAGAATTGTTAATCCTTCGCCTGTCCGTTTATTGCTCTAGTCGAATGAATCCTTTTGACGTGAACTCAAGAGTGTTACCTTTTATAGAGTACTGTACTGGCTTTTATCAAACTGTGATCATAATGAGTAATGGTAGCAATTTGCTTCCTTTCTTTAGGTTCGAATATTCCCCTACCTGATTGGTCGGGAGTCAGCCTTTGCAGATAATTTAAAATGGATGGCGTGTGCTAACAAAGGTGGGATCTTATTACTTTTTTCTCCTTGCGGTTAGTTTTTGCATGTTACTAAGGGAGAACTCGTCTCTGTATTCGGTCGCATGGGCGAGTGGGTCGGTGCTCATCAGTATTAGCACTTGCACATGACAGCAGGCAGCTGGTTGCAGTTGCACCAACACATCATGTCATGTTATTTCATCTTCCCCCAAGCTAAAAGTACAATCGAGAGAATACACTATTTTCTATCAGCGTTGTGGGTGGTCACTTTTGTCTCAGTGCAAAGAACACTTTTCCCCCAGGTTCTATATTTAGCCGGGAGGTGGCTGACTTAGACAGTCTGGCTCCGTTTCCTCAAGCGCACCAGATAAGACTATAGAGTCACAGGTCACATAAAAGATGTGCTCGTGTATTTAGCAGCATGTCTGCACTAAAGACCAGGGCAGCCGCAGCATTGTGTGGAAGCGATATCAGAGAGGCTTTCTAGTCAGCTTGAAGGTGTTAGTGGTGATGATGAGATGACTGTATTTGAGTGTGTGTCATGCTGTATAAATGTGCGTGAGTGTCAGTTGATCATACATACAGTGACAGTCAAATTGCCTACAGTCTGCAGTCTTCTGTGTTACAACAGATTTTACATCTACTACATGTTGAGTTTGATACACACTGTAAAGTCTTCCACAAGTAAATACAAGCTTCTTAGCTCACCTCGCCTGCGCTGTGAATGGAAGCTCAATCATAATATGCAATTGTTCCTTTTAAAAGGATAAAAGTGGATTTTTGCTAAGATTTTGTTGCGCTAGTGTGCTTTTTTTTTATTGCAATTAGATGTGAAATGGGCAGAGAGGAAAGGGAAGTCAAAAAAGTTAGGAATAAAACCCCAGGCAGCTGTGGGTTTTGCCCCAAACTGCCACCAAATATACACTGATAAGACTCTGGAAAAAAATGTTTGCTTCAGTGCAAATAGTGAATGGTTTTCCATCAGGGAGTCTTGACTTGTTGGTTCCCCACATTTACTTTTCTGAATCAGCTTTGATAAACAATGACCACTCAAATCAGGATTATTCTGCAGGTGCCGCAGTTTATGGAGATGATCTGACTCAGTCGTTTAACCATCACAAATATTTTAGATCCTTTTGAGTGCCCATTTTGTACTCTTCTGACATATCAAGTTTGATGGCAAAATACTGATTTATTGCTGACTATAACAACCATCACCTGATGCAGCAATGTAGAAGTATATCCTTCCACATTCACTTTGCATGCAGTTGGTCACAAAGCCATGCCTAAACAATGAATATACATTACTCAAATGCATAATATGTAAAAAAAAAAAAGTCTTTATTTAAAAGCATATATTTGAGAGACTGTTATGAATATCTACACTACACCGATGAAATGTTTAAGTCTTGCTTGCATGTTAGAAAAAATAATAATCATATATTGTTTCATGCTGAACAGATGATATTCATTTACATTTATTTTAAATGGCTGGCTGGGTTACCAGCAGTTGTGTAACTGGTGATTTTGTTCAAGACAAGAAAATCACAAGTCAGTTTTTTTATGACAAAAATACACTCAAATCAAAGGGTGGATTTTTGTACCGTTTTCAGTGAACGATTATTATACAGCATCAAAAGTTAAGTTCAAAGTATCGAAAGTTTTTTCTTTAAGATCTTGACCAGAAGTGCCAATAAATTTGCCGTTACCACATAGAAGATAACATTTTGACAAGATAACAGACATGATTATACCTATGGGGGAATTTCACTGAAAGATAGGATTCCCATGCCTCTCTTTTTTATATCTGGAGTCACGTGTTTAAATGTGGAATTAGACATTTATTTGTAACAGGAAGTTATTTTGGTTTTTGCTTTCTGTGATGCAGAAAATTGAAAAGAAAAAAAAAACATAGGTACACAATAGAGACGCATAAAGCAGCAACAGATAAAATGATTCATTTTAAAGTGCTAATTGTCTCTTGTTCATCACTTAAGATGATAACCTAAGACTGTTAAAATCAGATTCATAACAACAACGCACCAACTGAGAAATTATGTAAGACCTTTTTCTAGGTTTCTGGTTTTTGTTTAGTCATTTCTCATCAATGTGCATCACAGATTGTCCTCTGTGTGCTTAAGAATTAAGAGAAGTGGAAACGTGCAAGGACATCTTAAAATGTTGTCTTTAAGAGACCGGAAAATAAAATCCAGCAAAGACCCAACATAGAGACTACAACTGAGAGACTATCATCTTTCCATTCATAACATTTTTCATCTAAAACCTCTTTTGAAATCACTTTGATGCTAAAACACATTCTCATTTATGTGCAGTAAACTGTCTTGTGAGGCTGATACAGAAAGCCAGGGTTATTAAAGTTAAAATAATACTTTCAAGCTGATCTTGAGAAAAAAACAAAAAAAAAAACAAAACAAATCTCTTCACCACACTCCAAATATAGCTACCGTGTTTGTATATATAATTTCTCATTTCATAATTTTGGACATTGTTCTTGACAAAAATGTGACAACCTCGCTTAAAACTGTTTTTGTTAAAGAAATAGTGAAAGTTTTTGCTGAAGTAATGTTGGGATTTTTAGAACAATCTGTACCTGAGAGTTTTGACAGATATTAAAATTAATGTGAATTAAACATTTTTGAGGTGTTAAATACATTTTAATTAGTCTCTTAACTATTTAGTATCTCATGTTAGTCTAGATCAGTTTTACTGGAAATAGTCTGAAATGATGTTTCTTGTTTAAGTTGGCTACATTTACTCATAATTCAGCAGGTTGCCGCTAACTCCATCACACTTTAGCGACTAAAAGGTTAAAATCAAGTTGACTTTGTCTTGCATTTTTCCTCAAAGTTCAGGACATTTATATCGATTCAGTCACATATCACTTTTTTTTAAAATAACCTTTCATCAAACTTTTTTTTAAGTATAAGGTTATCCATTGTTTAGTAGTTCTTTTTTTCACATTATGATGCATTTTCTTTTACTCCCACTTCATCATATTCATGTGTAAGGACACCTTGTGAGATTTGGCATACATATACAGTATATGCCAAACCAAGGTTCTTTGAAAACGATTTTTCTGCCCTCACCGTTTCAGGGCAGCATGTGTCTACAGTGTGTAACAGGTGTGCTGCGTCACTGAGACCAGAGCACATTCATTATTCTTTTGGCCAGCTCATCTCACTGGCCCCAGTTGCTCAGCCTGAAGGACACCCTCAGCTGTCCAGAGGGAGCAGTCATTCTCAGGTCTCTCTTGTGATGAACGATGCATTGAAGCCGAGAGTCTGCTTGCTGTGTGATGCAAGCAAGTGTATGAATATGTTGTGTTATTTTATTCTCTGGTAAGATAATCACCAAATTCATATGATTCATAGATCAGTTTTACAGTTACCAGATTGGTACAGTTACCAAAGTTTATTTTATTTTATTTTTTTTAAACACAAATATCCATTTTAATTTGTCTTTAGATGTAACACAGGTACAAATTCAGAATTGGGTGTTAATTGGTAGTGTTAAAGAGGGATGTTTGTTGCTTAGATTTTCTTTTTGTGTGTAAACTTTGCCTTTTATTTTTTTTACCTCATAGTGCAAAGACTTTGCTGGGAAACAGTGACCCTAAAATCTATTTCTTTGAGTCGTGCTTTTCTGCTTGACTGCTTTGCACTGATGGAGGCCGTTTGCTCTTTTTCTGTTTGAGTGGAAACTTGTTGGTCTCGCTCTTTTCTCTCTTCCATGTGTCGTTTCTTGTGCTCCGTCTCACTGTTGTCCTGATTTACTTTCCAGCTTTCTTTCCTCCCGCCGAGATAACAGTATTCCCTCCTCCACATGTACATTAGTACCATAATGATGGCATTACCGCTCAAGGAAATGGCACCGCATTTGGGTTTTCTGAGAATAGCTTTTACATCACATTTGCATACCACTTAATCATCCACAAACCCATGCTGCTTTGCTCTGACTTGAACAGTCTTTTGCTATTTTTCATACATATATCCAGGTTGCTGTCTTCTCTACCAAGTAAATCTCTGCTGCCCTCTGTATTCAGCTTTGCTACAGAGTCGAGTAAGCAAGTATGATGTTAATATCTTGGAAAAGATTACTGCCACTGAATCTCAGCTCTTACAACTTGAAACAACCTGGATCAAACATACAGACATCTGCTCTTGATCAGTTTTGGTTGTATAACAGAAGTGAGGGACTGATTAATAAGTTGAGACTTTTGAGACAAAAGTTTGAGATGTAAGCCAATAAAGCTTTATTTGAATTTTACCAGTTTCAGTTGTGTTGTAGTCGTATATTTTCTGTGTTCATTCCAGCAGTTGCTTTTGATATCGACAGACACGGTTGACAAACAAAGCTCTCTAATTTTTGCTCTTAAAATATTTGACTGGTTTGAGCAGATATGCCATGACATGAAATAAAACACTATTACACAGTGATGAAAAATGTTTTCAGTGAAAGTGCAGAGTGCATCATAAACTACATGGAGTGTGAGAATAAAGCAATATTACATTATCTACCAGACTTAGATTGCATTTCTGACACAGATATCTCAAGACAACGAATCAGTGTAAACTGCTTGACACTGCTGAAACATTTCAAAAACATTTTTCTTTACTTCCACTCACAATTAGCATGTTGTTAAAACATTACTGTAAATATAAATCTGCCAAGAGTTTTGAGTACCAGGATTAGAAAAGATGTCAGTCATACATTGTAAATATTAAATCAAGAGAGACTGCATGGTATTTCCTACCACTGATCAAAAGCTGGAAATTAGATTTTACTTTCTGGATCTTAAATTTTAAAAAGTGTTATTTACATATTTTTTTTAAATTATTTTCTCAACATTATGTCAATTTGTTCTTATACCTTTATGGCATTCACTAACTATCACACTGTTATGTTTTAGTTTTTTTTTAAGTGTGAAATGAATTATTATTATTTTTTTTAAATGCCATTGCAAGTATTTTTGACATGTCTGAAAAAGCACCCACAGGACCCCTTTTTTAAAAAAAAGAACCTATGGATAACACAGCAGCAGATCTGTGTGGGGTATATGCATTTCATCCAGGAATAAGTATATTTCTTTCTTTTGTTTTTTCTGGTAGCATTCTTTGCTAGTTTCAGTAACTCAGTCATGGTTTACAAAAACAAACTGTTTGGGATGACTGGGAATTGACTTGCTCCCTTTTTCTGCAGGCTACTTCACTCAAATTTCTACACTGGCCGATGTTCAAGAGAACGTGATGGAGTATCTCCATGTCCTGAGTCGTCCTAAAGTTATTGACCGGGAGCATGACACAGTGTGGACCGAGGCGTACATTGACAGCACCGTGAGTGGATCCTTGTCTTCCCACTTTCACTTCATTTGTTGGAATGTAACACTTTGCTCTGGTAAAACTTTACATAGCGCACATTTTATTTATGCTTATGTGCAAAAACAGCTTCAGCATTTGGAGATTAAATGAAATATATAATTAAGATAAGAATGGATGTGAATTAAACATGTCAGCGAGCTGAAAATGTGTCTGTTTGTGTCTGTGTGTGCCAGTGTGTGAAAGTGTCTGCTAGTATATGCAACAGATGGGATCATTAAGGAAATGAGCCTCTTGTGGACATTTAGGAGTCTTGTAGCATGAGCAGAACATTGACCGCAGCCAAAACTGCTTATGGCAGACAATTGTTTTTCATTACAAAAGGGCTTTAAAACTTGCAAAGATACCTTTGTCATGCTTTATCATTATGTGGTGTGTATCCGTTGTGCAAATAATAATCACGCTGAAAGAGAGTGACGATTTGCACACATGTTGTATGGCAAAAAAAAAAAAAAAATATATAGACAAATATAGACTATTATTTTACATTTTTGTTTTTTGATCTCTGTTTTTATACAAAAAGGAACCATTCGCTTCAAGACATTTTTTACCCAAACATCTCTTTTGATAGCAGAAAATTGATAATCATTTTCTATAATCTTCTGAAAGAATATAGAATTTCATAATCATAAAACTTTTCTATGAGATGTTTTTTTTTTTTTTTTTTTTCATGTGTATGAAACTGAAGAATGCTGGGATAACGTGGCAACTGTTGGGTATGAAATAGGGAGAACTTGATCCTGAACCAACAAAGCACAAGAACAAAATACTTAGAGTATGCAACAGAACAAGTTGTTGCCAAAAACCACGAGGGTCTGGCAACCAACAAGGAAAACATAGATATACACGAGGGAGTTACTCATTAGTTTGACAAGAGAAAACAAATGTATTAAAATGTATTATATAGTGAAACATTAAATGTGTTTGTTTATGGAATGCACAGGCTCTTTTATACAAAGAGACATATAAACAAGAATGTAGTTACCATCGAAGCCAACAATAAGCTACGTATAAGGAAGAACATAAGTCAGGTTCTGTCCCAGGTGCCTGAAAGGTGCCTTCCTTCGGGTAGAAGATGTTCTCTAAAGAGACGGGTCTTCAAGGTTTTCCTGCACATAGACAAGAATCCGCCTGTTCTTGTAGCCCTTGGTAGGCACAATTTTGGACAAAACATGAAAAGACTGAATTATCTTAAACATGGCGCTGCATTCAAAAAGAGCATTCAAGTAGATAGGACCCTTTGCATTAAGCTCTTTATAGACTAACAGTGACTTGAATTTGCTGTTGGATGTTAAGGGTATCCAGTGTAGCTCAATGAATAGAGGTATAATTTGTGCTTTGTATGTTTTAGGTTTATTAAAGACCAGACCCACTGTTGTGTTCTGGACCATCTGCAGAGCTCTCAGGCGAGGGGACGAGTTAGGAGGCCTTGGCAGTAGTCAGTGCAGAGTACTGCATTGTGTTGTGCTTTTCTCGATGCAGCAGCACAAGCTTGTCTTGATTAGGGAAAGTTTGGATGTTGACAGTTCTGTAAACTGTCTGCCATTAGCTGTCACTCTCTTGGTAAAAAATGAGGCAAAGGTTCTACTGTCAGATACTAGTAGGTGGCTTAGGTGAACGTTTAAATAGTAAGAATTTTTTCAATGTAGATATACTTTTTTTTTAAAATATATATCCTTTGCAGGGAACGGTGGTGGTAGTGCTTTAACTTTTGCTAGATCTGCTCTAACAAAAATTAGATTTGTGCCATTTTCTTCCCCAGCTCTAAAATTAGGCACAATGCACAGTCTTAATCCTGGAGTATTTAGCCATACATGTATTTTGTGTTTTACTCAAGCACAAAGGTGCATAGTAAGACAAACACCTGTTCTCAACATTTATTTCTCATGATTAATAAGATAAAAGGTATAAGGGGATTATTGTAGATACTGTCTGTCAGAAGCAAAATCCAAATGTTCAATACTAAATTAAAAACAACTGTTTCTCTTCACAGATCTCCTCATGTTTTATCCTTCTGTTTTGATGTTCGGTTTTGTCATCTGTAGTATTTATCCTGTAGCATTGAAAATGACTCAATTCGCTTACCAAACATCAGCAGTTTTAACCAATTATTCCCTGTTCGCCCAACCCTAGGTGTCAGAAAGCTTTTCTTCTTTTACTTCCTATTTTGAAGTTGCAGTCTTTGTGAACAGCAAATGAGTGTGAATCAGTGTTTTTTACACCCTCTATCGCTCTGTTCAGTAAAAACTGCACTGAAAGGCTTTCTGACACTTATCCACAAATGTTTTTGACCCTTTTTCTCCTCCCCCTCCTCCTTCCTTCTGTAAACTGCTCTCCTTAAGCTCCCCCAAGCACAAAAGGTAAAACATCCGGTTTGAGGCCATTGTAATGCTGTTTGTTGGGTGCTGCTGTATGTTTATGTACATTTTGGTGCATGCAGGCTTTGGTTTCCAATATCTATGAGATTACCGCATTGTTTGGGGAAGCTAACTGTGATACTGGTGACATTAATTTTGTGTGGTACTTGTATGCTGTTTGTCAAGTTAATGGCTCGAGTCATGCATCTTGGAAGTCTTTTTGCATGTGTGATTAAACAAACATGTCTGTGCTCACACTCATTCATCAGTGATGTTAGCTATGTGCTTTTCGATTGTTTCCATTCAGGCAGTTTGGTCGTCTGTGTAAATGTGTGGTTACATTTTGCTCCTCTGGGGGTTTTGTGCCTTTATTTGTTTCAGTGTAGTTCTCTAAAATAAGCAGTTTCATTGTGTTCTGGGTGGAAATCCAGTAGTTCATAAAGACCATGCCAGGATGTTCTGATTCTGATTTTGATGCCTTTTATCATTTTTAGTAGCTTAATTTCTGTAATTTATAAATTGTATTGGTAACAATAAGGAGCTATGTAATCACAGCAATGATAATAACAGAACAAAAGGGTGCTTTGCCTCCCCACCGGCATGAGCTGGGCACTGAGCTGTGTCTTTTGACAGCTGGCAGGCTGGAGATCTTGCAAAGAGTTGTTCATGTCAGAAATTTGATCTCATTGACATCGAAATGGGTACGGATGGATGGATGATGACACTTTTTGGACACACTAACTAGAATTAACAAGAAATATTCATTGATGCTATGTCTTTTGTCTCCTAACTCTACTTTATTCCAGGTTTTAACACTCAAACATCCCTGAAAAACACTTGCACCGGCTTGGCCTGAGTGCCATATAAGAATATTCGACTTAAAAAGTGATGTCCATTAGGGCTTTGTGTTCTGGAGATGTAATGTATCAACTTTCCAGCTGCAAGGTCATAACTATTTTTCCTGTTCGCTCCAGATCCTTTTCACTGCAACTCAGCCGTCATCCCTTTGTTTGTATTTATTTTCTTTCTCTCCCCTTACTAGGCTGTCTTTTAAAATCTCTCACAGGAAAAGCAATCATGCATGCTGAAATGAACCCCTTCGGGCAATTTAAGGAGACCAATTAACCTAGCATGTGCGTTTTTTGATTGTGGGTAAAAGACGCCGCAATCAAGAACCTCGATGCACTAAGAACATTGCAAGGCAACAAACTTAACAGCCACTATGCAGTGTCCTCACAACTTACAGAAAATATTAGTGGAACCATAACACACCTTCAGGGTGTGTAAGAGCTTATGCTTTTTGAGGGGTCAGGGCTGTTCAGTACCAAAAGAGGACAGCAACCTTCTATTAGGCAGGCAGTCATGCAAGCGAGCACTGGTAAAGATGTGTGGAAAGATATGGGACTGAGTGAAGAGTGTTCGTTTTTTTTAATCATGAGTTCAAATAAGTTGAAGAAACACTAAATAAAACAAGTGAGAAAGTTTCACCCAGTGTATTGTCTGTCTGTCAAGATTTGAAAAAAAAAAAAAAAAAAATTGCTGCCCAAAGAATCATAACGGATGACTACATAAACTTCACAGTTTAAAAGGAAAAGTGTTTCCTCTGATTAATGGGGATTTGAAAGGTTTATGGATATTTGCAGAACACCTGTGCAGTATGACTGTTTGTTGAATCATTGCCAGCTTTTTTGGCTGTGGAGTATATTCTTAGTTCCCTTACAGAAGCCAACAAGGAGTGGTTTTTAGCTCTAGTGGTTTGCACAGAGCAGCATCATTAAACCTTGTCTCCAAGGCAACAAGGGTCACCTCATCTACCAGCACACAATTTGTCATAGTAACCTAGATTATGAGGTTTTCCAATGAAATACCAAACACAGGTCAGGGGTGTGCATCTAAGCTGTCTGAGGGGCTACAGGTGTCTGTGTATTTGTGACAGAGGAGTGGAAAAACATTAAGCCATACTGATTTGTTTTTCATCCCCCAAGCCTGTACAAGGAAAACAACTCTTATGTGTAATTTACTGAGGGTAGAGAAATCCCTAAAGGTCATGATAGAGTAAACTGACACAAATGTGTAGTAAGTTATTCTTTTGCATTTTAACGAGTCTATGTTAAAAGTTAAATTCAAGAGACTCAAGGGTGCAGCAGCTTTGGTGCTTCTCTTTTATTGACAAATAAAGTTAATCTAGGCAACTAATCCTCGAAGTTTAAACACTGGATATTTTTGAATTATTGGTATTAAACCCCTTATTTGTTCTAGTTTGGATAATAAAGCACAGGTTTAAAATCCTCTTTTTAAAAAAGTAGAATTAAGGAACACCTTCTGTCGCTAAGTCTGTTGCCTGCTTTCCTCATTCGTTCCCTTTATCGTCAAGCATCAAGTGTGCTTTTTCCCTAAGCATCTGGAGGAGGGTAGACTTTCACAAAGTGCTGTTGTACTAAAATAAATAACTTCTTAGATTAATGTTCATGTGCAGAGAGTATTCAGTGAAGGGACTTCTTGTCGCTCTAGTGATATATGATCCAATAGACCCCTGCTTGGAAATAGATTTTGTATTTTTAGATGATGCTTTGCTCGTTCCTCCTGTCCTTTGATCGATCACATTCTCCAGCAGCAAGGCCATCCATTGTAACAACAGCTGTACTTAAGTGTGCTTTGTTCTCTCTTTGATGTCCAATGCTGCACACTGGATTGCTATTACCAGCTATCTGAACAAAGGTCACCAATCCCCTTTTCCTCGCTGTCTGAGGGAGATGGAATGGAGACCAAGTGTCCTTTCGTTTGCCTATTTATTACTGTTTGTAGAAGAGGTGAGCAGTGAAGGAAGTAGGTTGTGCTGGAGAACTAATAAAGGCTGACTGATTAAATAGTCTTAGTCCTAAAAAAAATGACTAAAGATGTATGATTTTGAAGTAAATACAGGGACATCAAAGCAAAACAGTTGCCTCTTCCAGCCATGATTGCTCTTATCATATTCTAGTTGACGGATGCACTGACTTTGGATTTCACAGTGGGACACCAGCCTGGATTGTGTTTCTCGACACCCTTCCTCTTGACTCTGGGAGTTAGATTCTCAAATGAAATGCAAATCTTGATATTTCTGGATCTTTTCTCTGGTTCCAGAGTGTCTTGCAACAATCAGCAGTCTTTGTGAACATAATCCAAATTATTAAATGGGTTTCCCCTCATAATCCTCTCAAGGCTGTCTTGTTTTCCATACACATTTTCTACCAAACTTTTTCTTCAAATCAACTTCCTGTTTATATGCTTACACACACTTCTCTATCTTTAGGAGATTTATCTTTTGCAGTTTACCATCGGATGGCTTAGTGACTGTTGGACACTTGTCAAGTCAACATTGCTTATGTTAAAAATTGATCTCTCATGTAATAATGAAATTTTCTGAGAAACTGTCTTAGGTTTTCATTAACTTAATCCCATAACAATCAAAATGAACAAAAAAAAAAAAAATCAAATACATGTAGTCATCTAAATTATATCTGAGATTCATTTTTTTTTTTTGTAACTACTAAAAGAGGATATTCGGACTGAGATGCTCTACTGCTATGGTATAGAGAAAGCAACATTTCATATTTATTTAGTTATTATATGGTAGAAATAAATGTAGTGTTAAAGAATTGTAGTTTTTTTTTATACATTTCTGGGCAGACAAGGAAAGACACATATCAAGTTAAATATCACAATTATTCCAACACTTTTAAAAAAAAAAATCACAATACCTATATCTAAACTGGAAACACTTGCATTTGTTAAGCTTCTTTCCCACAAGATCAAAGGCAGACTCTGATTGAACACATTTTAGGGCAAATAAAGAACATGAATAAAACATGGCATGGAGGTTTTGAAGATCCCTCAAGAAAATGATATGACTAAAGATGCTGCAGAAATTGAATCACTTCCACTACTTAAGTGGTAGATTGTATGCAGACTAAAAAAAATAAATATTCATTGATGTCATAAAGGAAGATGTTTCATACAATATGCATCAAACGAATCTGCGTTGGTGTGCCTGTAGTTAGATTTTGTTTGTTTTTATAACAATTGTATTTCATATTTAGCTTCCCTATTTTCCCAGGCCCTTGTTTTCTTTGCTTCTTTTCATACTCTGTCACTCATCACTGAATTATCTCTCACAATGCCATCAGTCGGATGATGGTCAAGGTCCAGTCCTGATGACAACAGTAGCAATGCCAGTGTTCAGTACCAAGAATGAGACTGTAAGTTCACATAAAGTTCTATTTAGACTTAAAGATTAATTTTCTTTGCCCATTTAGCTGAAGTAAATGTCACATCCACATAAGGACGCTTACATAATAATTATATAATTTTATTCTGCTTGGTAAATTAGGACACAGTAGAGCATAACTTTATTTAGATTATATATTGAAATAGTAGTGTCTCAGTTGTTTTTCAACAAACTGAAAATCTGTAAAATGTTTTTTTATTATTATTTTTATTTTTATTTTTTTATTTTTTTATCAGAGAAACAGAGGAATCCTGCTTGGAGTGGTTGGGACAGACGTGCCAGTTTCTGAGCTGCTCAAAACCATTCCCAAATATAAGGTAACACACACAAACTAATTTCTTATAGGTAACTCCCTTTTAGATTATGAGTTCATCCATGCATCTTGATAAAAGAACAAACATAAAAGAATACATTATTGCAGTAATTTAGTTTGAGAAGCAAAAGTCATATATTGCATACATTTCAGTTTGCAAGTGAGGTCATAAATTATTTAAATTTTGACATTATTTTTTAAGTAATAGAATGTTATAGGTTTCTTTCAAAATATGTAAAACTTGATACATTTTAAATTAATTAATTTAAGGTTATAAATACTAAAAATACTCATAACCTTCTCAAAAATGACCAGACAAATTTTAATTTCCTTACAAAAATCAGACCACTTTTCTGGGTTTTTCCACTTTTTAAGTTTATGTTTATGGTCATTTTGGTGGTTGTAACAATAGACTTTAGTGACACAGGACTTGTGCTGAGATGCATTCTGGGTAAATGACGTATGCTTAGCCCCGTTGTGCTAGCTGTCAATCAATAGGTAGTGGTGATGAGGAGAGTGCGTCGCAAAAACCCATGAATATAACTGATACCCATAAGAGAAGCAGCATCTGGCTGCTAAAGATATTATATAATATAAATGATGTGTTCAGTAGATTTGTTTGCAGTGCTTTGTTCATTTGTTTTTGTTGCTTAAAGTTTTTATTAAAATATTATACAAAAGTAAGAGTCTGCTTCCGTAATAGAACAAATACATACAATTGAATAACAGATCAAATCTGAATTAATTCATTAGATATTCTAATTTATTTAGAAGCCCCATTGTTATACAAATGAAAAAAATATATATGTTTTTAGCTGTAACATTGCATTTAGTTTACTTAATTTGTTGCATTAAGTAAATCAACTTATCAACGCCATAAGTTGATTTATTAAAGTTCTTTGGAGGCTTTTGCACCTTTTCCACTATTCCTTACTAAAAGGAAAACATGCTGGAAGCATTTAAAACTATATGTAGGAATACATTCTGTGTATTTTTTGTCACCAGATTTCCTGCACTGATTTCTTTTATTCCACTGATACCTAGCTGGATTTTGGTTAGGTAAAGTGGGTTATTTGTCCAGACATGAATGAATTAATCACTTCGTACCGAATTTCATCACAGAAACAATGATTCTAATTTCAGAGAAATGACAAAGAGCTTGATTGGTTCAGATGTACAATCAGGTACAAATTTGTTGTGCGTCATTTATGTGTTTCTATGTTTCTGCTTATCATTCTGTCCTAGCTGGGTATTCACGGCTATGCCTTTGCAATCACCAACAATGGCTACATCCTCACCCACCCAGACCTGCGGCCACTTGTGAGTATCTCAAATGCTCAACGTTTAACTCTACTAATCCAGCAATCCTGCAGAAGTTGGAACTTCAATCTACTGCATTATTCTGAACAAATCTCACAAATAATAGTAATAATAATAATAATAAAACCAAATCTTGCTTCAGCATGAAGATAGACTAAAGATCAGTTTTGCACAAAAAATAAATGTGTGGGTGCTCTGTTTTGTGTCCTGTCTGCTTCTTAGCAGTGTGGCCTATGTAGATGAGGAGAGTAGTTCCCAGCCCTCTGCTGCTCTCTGAATAGACAGAGATAGGGCTACTGAATGGCTGTGATTAACTCTATTGTACTCACCCACTCCCTTCACAGGAGAGTGAAGGAAGCTAGCATACTGACAGGAGGGGCTCAGGGAGTTGACAATGTCCAAAATGTTATAAAAACGGAAGCAAGAGGGAAAAGGTGCAGGGTACAAGCTCGGATGAAAAAATGAAGACATAATGACGGCTGTGGAAGGAACAGATGAGGAGAGGGCAGACAGCGAAGCAGACAGACGGAGAGTTTAATAATGGTCTAATTAAAGATGTTAATGAACAGCAACTGTTGAGAGGTGGGAGGTGGACCTTACTGACAGATTCATGGAAAGTAACATTTATAAGTATATCTTAAAATAAAATAAGCAAACATGGAGGAATTCATCTGTTAAGAAGCAACTTTTTGCTTCATGTCACCTTTACAAGATGATCAGACTAAGCAGCTGACTAACATCCAGCCAGTGGGTTGAACACTATTGAGCATTAGGTACTGCATTACTGTAGCTGATGCTCTGCTCAGTTGTGTGTGTGTATATATATATAAGTGACTTGCCTGAGATATGCAACTGAAGTGATTATTCACTGGATTTTACAAAGCCAAACCACTGCTCATATAATACAAGGCATAGCTCTTTGGTGAAATGACAATATGACGTTCCTTGACAAATTATTTGTCAAATCTGCTTATCATTACCAGTGTAAAAGCATGTGTCTTCATGTGTGTGGCTCAGATATTCTACTCCTTACCATGAGAAATGCTACTACTTAAAGAAAACTCGGTTCAAACGGTTGAAAAGACGAAGTTGTGAGGTGCAACATATTTAATCACTAATTGAATAAGTGAAAATATAGAAGCATGTAAATGTATCTTATGCATTCATGGTGTTTATTAGCATTTTATTTATCTTGGCATATGAATATTGAGTTGAAAGTTTATTATGATTATATTGAACTTACAGTCTAATGCTTGTTTTCATTTTTGGTTGAATTTGTGTTCTCATGGGCCTGTGTGTCCAGTACGGCGACGGCAAAAAGCGAAGGAAGCCGAACTACAGCAGTGTGGATCTGTCTGAAGTGGAATGGGAGGATAAGGATGACACGGTCAGACACCAGCAAATCCACATTAAGCCCTCGCCACAGAGCTGCTTTGAATATCTGAAGATCTACAAGGCTTTTCTGTGTCTGCTTTTTGTGTGTTTCCAGTTGAGAAATGCCATGGTCAACAGGAAGACTGGGACCTTCTCCATGGAGGTGACGAAGAGTGTGGACAAGGGGGTAAGCTGTCCAAAATTCAGAAGACACTAGCACTTGTTATTTGCCTCCAAAAGGTGTACGAGCAAAACAACCCGACAGTGAGAATCCACTCTGCCAAAGGGTTGTTAAACCTGGCACAGTGATGCACTGCCATGACTTAGGGATTTTGTTTCCGATTTGATTTGCTCTGCATACGCCAGTGTGCGTCTGTGTGTGAGCCTCTTATCTCCACCAAGCACATGTTGCTGAATGCAGGGGGCTGCAGCCTCCCGATGATTCAGTTTCACTACTCGCCTGTCTCTGATGTAGAGTGGTATTCAGGCGTATGTGTGTTGTTGGTGTCGGAGTGTGTAGGCATTTAGCATTTTTAAAGCTTAGACTGCTTTATGCATTAGTCCAATCAAAGTACACAGTAGAAACGCACATTGGCAAGAGCTTAGCAGGGCAGCAGTCTCAACCACAACCATGCAATCAATGCACCACTAGATGGAGCTAGACTGTAGCGAATCCCATCAGATATCAGATGTTGATCAACTAAATATTTGCTAAATCATCTTTAATCTTTTGATTTCAGAAACGTGTACTGGTTTTACACAACGATTACTACTACACAGATATTAAAGGCACTCCTTTCAGGTAAGAAGGATTGATACTTTTATCTGCGTTATTATTTGATGAAAGGTGTTTTTTTTGGCATTGTTGTTGTTGAAATGTATCTATTTCAATTTTAGTCTAGGAGTTGCTCTTTCCAGAGGGCATGGGAAATATTTCTTCAGAGGCAATGTCACTGTGGAAGAAGGTAGAAAATCTTTTTGTCTTATTTTTCTCCTTCAGCTTTTCACCCCTGGTTTCACCTTAATTTGTTCAGATAGTTTTTTTCTGCACTTGTTATTGATTCCTCAACATGTCTTCCTCCTTTTTTTGTGTCAGTGTCTGCTCCAGTATTGATAGCTTTTAAATTTTGGAATAATACTTTTTCCCCCTCAGACATTTAAACAGCAAGATAAATAACTGTTAAACACTCCATGAACTATTTCTAATTGCAGGATTTGTCATAAAATACACATGTAATATCTGTGACAAGCCACTTTTTACACACACTTGGAGATGTCAACAAAAATTGATCCATAAATTAGGTTTTGAACATATGCTTTGATGCACAAATAGAGGTTAATTCCTTGTGTTTTTGCACCACATTTCGATTTCTGTCAAGGAATCTTAGCTGGACTGATGACATTTTATTCTTTATTCAAGGCTTGTTATAATTAAACACAGTCAAAGCAGGTTTGGAAATACTATAGTTTGTTGATATAAATTTGATTAAGTTGGAAAAAAATAGGCATAACAGGTTTTTGGTTCTACTATCATATTTATTGTACATAACATCAATTATTCAATTTATTATAAGTATAAACAGCTGTAATATAAACCGGGTTATGTCTGTTATGAATTTTTTATTTACTATGAGCTAGCCAGGTGAAATTATTCCACAATGATCAATATTCTGCTGGCAAATTGAACCACCAGCTCTGTGTAGCATTCTTCCGTTACTGAGCATATTAGACCGCAATATTTGGACGTGTGGTCAACATTTCCTCCACTGCCATTGTTAAAACTACAATCAACGTCATCGTTCACAACTTCTACTTCTGTTCGCTGATTGGCCCGGTAGAAAATCTACCAGAGACGATCTGAGTCAAGGAGAGAAAGCCAAGACTAACCTGGAAGCAAGAATTCAACATAGAGCAACATAGAAATAAAAATGTACTCAAAACCTTTACCCTTTTCCTTTTCAACGTCCCAGTTTCTGCCTGTATAATTAAGTGGTTTAGCTGTTCATATCCTTGTCTGGCTTGATGGTGAGTGTCTGCATATACAGTGTTTTCTGTATATGTTCATGTCCAGCTTCATGGACTTTAATATTCATGGGGCAGTGCCTGTGTCTGTAGGCTTCTGTGTCCAAGTGTTTCTCTAAACATGTCTGTCATGCAGGGCTCTCTGAGCATGACTTGGCTCTTCCTGGTCTAATCAAGCCTGTCATGTTTGTTCAAAAAGGACATTTTTCAAACACTCTCTGTGTTTAAGTTAATCTGCATTTTAAATATAGAAGCCTGTCACTTTTATTAAGACAGTCACTTGGAGACATAATATTATCATTCTTTTTTAGGACTTCATGACTTGGAGCATCCTGATGTTGCACTGGCTGACGAATGGTGAGAAAAATAACACAAATAAAATGTCATTCTCCATCCTTATTCTGTTTAAATTGTACGTATACAACTAAAGTATAAATTTGAACATATTTAAGAAAATAAAATGTCTCAGTTGCGTTTGCATTTCTAGGACTTTGGCAGATTCTTGGGTTATTTCTGTGATTTATGGTCATCATAAGGGATTACAGTTAATGCTTTTCAAACTAATCCTTGTAGATCGAAAGCAAAGCATTTTTTTCTTCTTTAGTATATGGTTTTATATTATTTGTAATCCAAAACTACCTAACAGCAGAAGGGAAATCTCACCTCTATTGAAAAAAAATAACAAGTAGATACTCAACCAACAGATAATTAAATGAGTCATTTTAAAATGAAGCTGATCTTGAGTCAGTTACAACTATAAAACTTATGTTTGTTGTTTTGTCTTTTCGTTTTCTGCTCTTGTTATGCTATAGGACATACTGCAACACAGACGAACACCCCAAGCATCGCTACTTGTCTCAAATAGAAGCAATAAAAATGTATCTCAGTGGGCAGGAACCCCGCTTGCATTGTAAGTTAAATTTTAGTGCTTTTTCTTTAACTGGATCAGCTTACGTTATTTGTATTTACTTGTAATCAATAACCCCCCCACGCCTCCACCCCTTTTTTATTGTAAAACTGATTTCTATTTGCCTTTGTCCTGTCAGGTGACAAAGAACTTATCCAGGAAGTTCTCTTTGATGCGGTTGTGACCGCTCCACTTGAAGCCTACTGGACCAGTCTTGTGCTCAATAAGTCAGAGTAAGTCACCCATTCCACTGATTTTACTGTTATTAGGGAATATTTGTGCGATTAAACAGCCTATGTTATTTTTCTGATGCCAATAACGCAGCTGCCCACAAAGGCAGTTCAGTTTATAAACTTGTCTCACTATACAGAAACTCGGACAAAGGTGTGGAGATTGCCTATCTTGGCACAAGGACAGGGCTGTCCAGAATTAATCTATTTGTGGTGCCTGACGAACTCACAAACCTGTAAGTGATCTGTATATGACTACTTTAAATGTGTTATGGTTGGTCAGATTTTTGCACACACTCCACAAGAGTGTAGATGTGGGGCTAATTGTGGGCTTATAATGTTGCGTTTGAACCATTCTTTTTTGGAGTTGAAACAGATGTGACACACACATTCAATGGTTTGCATCAATAAGAATACAGTCATTCCAAAACCTCATCCATTTCCAAGCTGGCTTTAGTGTGTATTCAGGATCATTGTTTGGCTGGAAAACCTGAATGGTTCTTAAGTTCAACCATATTGCAGCAAATTTGAGATGGAGTTCCACGAGTAAATATTTTTTTCTCCATTTCCCATAATAGACATTGTTCTTAGTGTTACATGGGTTGTCCAAGGACATTGTAGTTAATTTGATTTCATCTCAGAGGGCCCATTTTGATCATATGGTTGAAACGAGACATGATTCTGGTCTTCTAGTAGTACAGTGAATTATACTTCAAAACAACTTTGGAGAGGAATGCGGTATGTAAAAAAGAAAAGAAACAAAGCATTAAAGCATTAAAAACATTAAACGTAATTGAAGTTTGTTATTCCACCTAAAAAATAATGCAACTAAGATGCATCACTAAAATCCCAAAATTACCTTTTTTCATAAAGTTCTGATCAAGGCATTATATTGTTTGCTTTTATTTCTGATTTCAAATCGAATTAGTCTTACTAGCTTGTTTCTTCATTGTTGATATCATATGTTTCTTGTCTGCATCAAGAGACTTCCTGACAGCTGAAGACAAAGAGGGAGTGTTTAATGCTGATCACTTTCCTCTATGGTACAAGAGAGCAGCAGAACAAGTTCCTGGCACCTTTATTTATTCTCTGCCTTTCAACTCAGGTTAGCTGTGCATTTGTTTCTTATTTGGTTCTTCGTTTGTTTGTTTGCTTTAATTAAAGTATTAAAGGGGATATTGGCTGAGCCGGATTTAAATTAGTTTTGGTCACATTATGTGTTTGACAACTCATCACACAACACTAACTTTGGCATTTCTCTGTGACTTTTTTTTATTTTTTTTTTACATGTTTATCCTGGTTTCATTATTTTCTCTGGCTTTTATCTGTGTTTGCCTTTCCTCGTTTATTAATTCTGCTCTGTTTGCATTTGGACCAGACTGATTGCTGATGGCTGAAATAAGATATGCTAGGGAGAGGCTCGCTTCTTTCCGTAGAGAATAGCCCAGAATCCACAGTTTTATAAATGGATGCACTAATACGCAAACATCTCACGCATATTCAATTTAACAGTTTTACTAAAAAAATTTTATGTCCGCCAAAGGAAGAACATGTTCTCAGCCTCAGGCTTTCCATTAGTGCCAGCTATTACAAGTGATCTGAAAGCCTCTTATTTACTTGCCTGACTTGCCTTAGATGCACCCTTCCTCCAAGGAATGTGGTAGCTGTAGCAACGACAGTCTGTTAAATATATATATGTTACATTTATGGCTCTCCAATCACCTTTTAGTCGATCAGTTTTCTTTTTTTCTGTTCTGATATCTGTTCCTCTTGTGTGTGGTTTAGGTTCAGAAAACATGAGTGTTGTATTGGCCAGTACTGCCATTCAGCTTCTGGATGAGAGGAAATCCCCCATAGCTGCTGGTAAGTGGAAATTCAAGTGCTTCTTTCTCTCTGTCTCTCTTACACAAACACTCTTCAACGCTGACAGAGACTGCGGTATTCTCTTCTTCACACTGCTGTGCTTTATATTCCTGCTCTACAGTTGTCCTCCCCCCTGCTTATTTTCCTCTGAAACACTTGCAGCCCACATGTTCTGGCTTTCCGTGTGTTTTCATGTGTCCAATTGCATCCGTTGTAGTGCACTGCACAGTACATAGCACAGTAGCACACAAAAGCATGCACCAACATGCATAAAATATCTAAATATTGTATATGTAAAATATGTATATCTGGTGTTTGTGTTAATCTTGTATGCCAGCCACAAGTTAATTCAGAATGTCAACTCAGTAACTATGATTAGAGTTAGAGGTTCACATAGGTTCATAGTGATTCATCTCTGGTCTGAATATCATATCATTTTTGGGCCTTTAGTGATTTATTTGTATTTTATGTAGGCAACAAAAGGTTGAGATATGTCTCAAATGCCATGGATACACCCACAATTATATTTAAGTGAATGTCCATTTGTCAGGGTTGTGCAGTCTTTGTCCCATTTTACATTTGTTTCATGTAAGACAAAGCAAATAAATTGAAGTATTTAGCTGAATATACCTAAATAATTACCTTAATTAAAAAAAACAGCCTCTCTGAAATACGTTTTGTGCACCAGTTGTAGTTCACTTTTATAAAATCTCATTTATAAGTAATAAAAACTGAGGCTTAGAGCAAAAAAAAAAAAAATCAGACTGGAGTAACTCGCAAGACAAACAAAGGAATTTCTAAAGATACACTATCCATATCAATAACAGAACAGCATAAAGTTGTTTTTTTAAAGACTTCTTGCTTCATAGCTCATTAATATTCCTAAACTCTTCTACAGAGATTGTCATAAAATTATTCCAAGAGGTATTGTAAACTCTGTTTTCATTGTGCTGTAAGGCTGAGTATTTTCAGAGAAGATGGTGAGATCTGTAAATATCTTGAAAGTAGCAAAGTAGTTATGAAGAGAGAATAAAAGTTGTTTCTCGCCACGTTTAAAATTCTGTATTCAAGAGAAATCTAAACGTGAGGCAGGTAAGTCTGGATTGCAGGTGAGCCTCCGCATTCACAGCATGAATGTGGAGGCAGCTGTCTCAAGTGTCGAATTAGGTAAATTGTAATTACAAATAATAAGGTATGTGTAGTTTTAATGATAAGTAATAAGTTGTTTGCATTTCATCGCCTCCACCATCTTGAGTTTGTTGTTTATGAAATAATCTAAATTATTTTGTGATCAGGATCACAAAATAATTTAGATTATTTCTAATAGTTTAGATGACATCTAAATTATTTTCTTTCACAATTGCATGTGGAGGTTAAAATCCTGTGCTTCAAAAAAATTTTCAAATTGGAAAATCTGAAACTTACAATCACTTACAAGTTTGAATTTGTTATACTTTCTATTGCTCAAGCCATAGGGAAGGTATCAGAACACAAGATTAATTTTGACTTGTATCCATAATGCATCTTCAAATGATATCTGTATGTACGCGGTTAACCTCTGAGGTCAAGTAGAACTGCAGGAATGTATCTTAAAAGTGGAAAGACATGACGATGGAAGGAAAGAGGAGGATGATCTTTATGAAATTCAAAGATAAAATAAGAGAAGAAGGAAAAGGGCAGAGAAAGAGAAAATTATTTCACGGTGCCTGGATACGTTGACTTGAAAGCAGTGCATTGTGGGTAGTCTTTGCCTGGGGGAAACCACTGGAGCAGAAGGACAACGATGGGAGAGTCTGTGTAGTGCCACTGCATACACACCCAGTATGTGTTTGTGCATGACTATGCAATAGGGTTTGAGCACAGTGATGCACAGGCAGCCCACGGTTTGCACCAGCCCACAGAATAATTTGACCCTGCTCATTTCATCGCTGTTCATTCAGCATAATAGCATTTACTCAAATCCTTCTGAGCAGCAAAACAAATGACTAATCAGTCAGAAGAATTTAGGTGGATCCTATTGTTGCAGTGGGTGCTGATGTGCAGTAATGATGATCACGCTTGTCCTATCTGTGTATGTCTGTAAGGATGATTTTATATAAGAGTATCAGATATGGGGGCGAGATGTAGGCTAGAATGCAAATTTAGCATAAGCCGGTTAGGGCCAGTTTTCACTGCCCTGCGCTCCACTGAGCTGCAGACTTGTAAATACGCCAACACGCTAACTTAACAGGACAGGCCAGTGACGTCACATGCCACTGGCCCTGCAGACATCACTGGAGTAACAATGTCGCCGTGCGTGTGCGTACATACCCGTTTACGCCAGCATGTCAGTTTGTGTGTGCGTCAGTGTTTGTGGTCACATCCCAGGCCACGTGCAGTGAAGCCGCTACCGTGAAATACACAGAACCGTACGACTCAGGTCAGGCATGAACACCGATGGCATCTGTGTACCTCAATGTGCTGTTCTACTACACCGAGTGAACACACAGTGAGTTAAAATGCTGTTAATTACATGAATCTTCTCTCTGAACAAGTCAGTATGCACAAAACGCACTAGATGCAAGTAAAGAAAATCTAACTTATATTGTCTTCTAACATGTTTCTCTTGTTAGATTAATGACCTATAATAATGTCTTAATTTAATGAATATGAATGTGTGCTATAGATTTGTCTGTTACAGTTAAACTCAAAAGGATGTTGCATTATTTGTGGGAAAAGTAAAAATAATAATAATAATTTGGAATATTTTTGCATCACACAAAGCAGGCATTTCAACAAAAGTAGCATGGGCCTACCAGTGTCAAGCTACCCCAATGATTTAAACAATTCCATTTTAAAAACTTAAAAGAAATTATACTATGACATTTTTATAGTTTGAAATTCCCTATATGTGCAGTGTACGTAATTAAAAAACATTCTGGCTGTAAAGAACATGGAAACTAATGGATGCCACCAATTACTGTGAAATTGCAGACTGCTAATATTCACTAACAATGCATTTTGAATTGCCTTGTTGCTGAAAATGTACTGTATAAATAAAGTTACCTTACCTTACCTTAACAGTTCAGTTTGAGTTGTTTTAAGCAGATAAAGTAAGCTTAAACAGATAATGTGCTTGCTTGTTTGCCTGCTATCGTTATATTTCTACTAAAGGTAAAAGAACAAATACCATCAATAACTTCAGAGAACCTTTTCAAAGATTTCAGCTAACCTTTTTTAACAGTTCTGCTTTGAAACTACATTTGTGGGATTTTTTTTTTTTTTTTTTTTAACAGGATAAATGCCTGAGTGAACAGCCAGACTAATCAACCAGCTAATATCAGGTAGTTTTATTCCCAATGTAACTTCATAAAATGCAAAAATAATGAAACTTTGTCATATTTTATACAATAAACATACCTACGTTAAAATTACTCCTTAGTGTTTATTCTTAATTTTACTTGTGTATTTATTAGCATGAAAATGTCAATAAATCAAAGTTGTCGATACAACCATAATAATCATATAAAAAACTTTCAATATAAATTTTTACACACTGTGAACTCAAGGTTACTGTACCATGACAACATCTTACCAGACTACAATGAATACTATCTGGAAGTTCTTGGATTTCTTTGCACAAAATCTCGTTCTATTATAGTTCCTTTTCACTCTTGCGGACACAGACCTTTTGAAATTGATAGTCAGTGTTCATAAAGTAATCAGGAACGATGTTTTCCTTTATTATATTTACTACATACTGAAGGAAATGTTTAACATTGTGTAACTAGTAATATGTTACAAACAAGACTGATTGGAAAAATTGTACTTGCATGTGTAAACGTCATTTGTGCAGCGGTCTTTTTTTAATTTATTTTTTTCTTTTTCTTTTTTTTTCTTTTTTTATGAACCCATAAAATACATACAAAAAGGCTGAGTCTAAGTTCTTTTCATTTTAGTTTGTTTCATTATTGCTTCAACGAATTCCCCATTTTGACAGGAAAGTATCCTTTCAAAAATATATTTCCTTCACAAAACCTTTTTAGCATTCCTAGGCACAGACACTTAAAATGTTCTGTAATCTGACACATCTTTCTGTAAACACATGTACAAAGACACACACACTCTCTCAAGCACAAGTTAAGTCACAGGCTCATCTTTTTTTTTTTTAAATGCACATCACTGATACAAATAGATGAGGACATGACTGACAACAGCTGCCTAATATGGTTCACTATGAGTCAAAAACAAACTCAAAATGATTAGCAGTAACAAAAAAAAACAGATAAAATCTATAATTCTTTCTAAAAATACCAAATTGTTACATTACAAATACCTACAAGTACACACTTATAAATATATATTTGATTTCTTCTGTCATTGATATGCTTTTTTTCTTTTTTTTTTTTTTAGATAAAACAAAATGTATATTGTTGAATTCAGCTTCTGAAATCTGCTTAAAGTGGAAGATAGTCTTCTTATCAGTGCATAGTCAAATACCTGTGAAATGTAGCTACCCGAGTCTCAAATGTTAGGTACATTTATGCAAAAATTAAAAAAAAAAAAATTCTCACTCTTTGCACACATGTACAAACCCAAACATGGCATCCAGAGATAATTAGGTTAAAGGGAAGAGGCTTATAGAGTCCAGGGAAAACTTTACCACCTCTTAGGCAATAGCATTTTCCAGTGGTTCCTTTTCATCTGCAGTAGCATGATCGGCCCCCTGTGCTGCAGCCAGCTCCTCATTCTTCTTCAACTCTCGCTGATATTTGGCCATGATTGCCGCATAAGCACATCCATACACTGCTGCAGCCAGCATCATCAGACACACAATCCCACACACAACACCTGTGATGATCACTGTGGCAATGGCATGGCGGAGGTTGACAGGTCGATGCTTCTGCTTAGTTTCACACTCTGCCATGCCTCCTGCCCCTCCTCCTCCTCCTGCTCCCGCTCCACCTCCAACACCAAAACCCTCACCTATCGCCATGGGGACATGGAGAGAGTGGCTGGAGGGATGGGCATGGTTGCCATGGACGTGGCCTCTCAGTAGCTTCTCAGACTCTAGGTGGTGTATGTTGGCAAACAGGTAATGGTAGCTTGTGGTCATACAGGCATGGAACAGCTGATAAGGAATTTTTTGCAAGTCTTTGTCCTTCTTTTCTTCTGGTTGAGCGCAAAGAACTTCATCCACAACTCCACCTTGAGAGTAAGGAGAAACAGGTGAAGAAAATCAAAATAAAACCGTGAAAGAATGTGTTGTCATTTCTACTCAGGAAATGTCACACAATTTCCCTTTAATGATGATTGTAGAATTTATGTTGAAGACCAACTTCCTCTGTGTTAAGAAGCATGTTAAATATATGACATCTAAAGAGTTCTCTCTTCTGGATCACAAGATCCAAAGAAATTGGTTCTTCCACAAAAGGAATCAAATCAGGAGTTCATCAGTTAGCCTCTAGTTTCTTTTCAAATCCAGTAACCTTTGGCACACACTTCCAATTCTGTCAACTTAATTATCCACTAGCTTTGCGTCTGCATGCTTACTTAAATCTGGGTCCATTGTGTTGTTTTGCACTAAATAGAATTTTCATCTCGCAAGAAAACATTTATGTCAGAGTATCATGGACATGTAGGCGGACTATCTAACTCCATGAATGCCTTGGCTTCACTGCAGAGTGGTAATTTTGTTATCCAATGCCTGCTGCGTTTGGTCTAGCATGGGAAATTATACGGGTTGCTGATATGTGCTTTATCTGACTTAACAAACCAGAGAATTTACTGGAGATTCTCCTTCATGCATGAAGAACCTAAATGAGGAGCATTCAGCTGTAAATATTATATTTACTTGAAGCATTATTACATAAAACTTGCTAGTAAATGTATTATTAGCATGCTACACGTAACAAAAAAGGGTAAAAAATAAATCTCTAGTTTGTGCTTTTCACTGTAGCCCACTGATAAAAGCAAGATTCAAAGGGAGCAGAAGAGAATGACCTACAATAACAGAACATAACTTATATTCAAATAATACATATTTTGTATATTTCCAGGTAAGAGAAGTTGCATTTCTCCATGTTTGTACGTTGTTTCTACCCAACCGTTGCTGGAATATCTTTGTGTAAAAAGATGGATCAGAATAAAATATACTCCTCAGTGTCTAGAGGTCAAACCACCTGGGGAAACGCCCTCAGCAGCTGAGACACTGATAAAAGTCATTCTTTCGCTGCCTTTCAGACATTTGCTGTGGACTTTTGCTATAGCCACTCAATGTGAGGATCAGTAACAAAACGAGGGAGGACAGAAGTGCCATATTAAAAATTTGACTTGATTTCACAGAAATTCCATCATGGGAAACTTGTGATATAAGAACATTAAACCTGTGGCAGATATCTCCCTGTTAATCTGGATTCCTGTGTGAATAAAATTCCTGATGGTCTAACCTTTAAAGAGGTAGGTCTCCAGCCAGAGTTTGAGGCCAATAAGCTGGCAGTCACACCTCCAGGGGTTGTTTCGTAGCGTTATGCTGTCCAGGTGGGTCATGGTGTCCAACAGCGAGCGATCCAATCTTGTTAGTCTGTTGTTTGCTAAGCCCAGGTAGCTGAGGTTTTTCAGACTGTCTCCCATGACTCCTGGCAAACCCCACAGACTAACAAAAGAGACATAGTAAGAGAATCAGATTAAAGGAAGCTTTTGTGGTAATCTCTGATAAATTGAAATTCATGTTGAACTCAAAGTTGACTCTTGTTCTCATATTTCACTGTTACCTCAAATTGTGTAAGTGTTAAAAAAATCCCTTAATATACACATTTCTACCTCTTGTCACAATGGTGTTATTGTTTATTTTTATACTTTTTCTGTATTGAAAAGACTGTGCTGCACATCTCTTGCCACATTTAGCTTTGCAAGCTCTCTGGCTAACTGTTGCACCTTGTGCGGCTTTTTATTATGTATCTAGAATCAAGTGTGAATGATGCTTTTTATTGCAAAGGCTTGCATTTCAAATCATTTCATGTTCAAAAATATTCCCAGAGTTTGAAAGACCTCTGTTCCTTTTGTCTTACATGTTTGAAAAAGGCTTTAAAAGATTAATTTCCAGACACTTGAATCTCTTATTATTCTCAATGATCTCGAAATTCCTCTTGAAGAAATGTGTAATTATTTCACGTAGTGTGAATTGTGTAGGTTTTTAGTCACTAAAACCTAATGTAATCTAAATAACCTAAATAAAATTTAGGTAAAATTTTATTTAGGTTAAATTATTGCAATTGCTTTTCCTTTTTATTCTTTAGTTTTCCAATGATGCTCGTGATGGTGTGACAGTTTCAAGCATCTATACTTAACCTGTTGTGTGAGAGGTCAAGATGGGAAAGTGAGCGAATAGGCCCAAGCAGCCGTTTGTCAAGGTCTCTGATGCCGTTGTATGCCAGACTGAGGCGCTGCAGAGTCCTCAGACCTTGCAGAGCAGTTGGTGAAATAGATGTTATAGAGTTATTAGACAGATCGAGAATGCGGACAAGAGGTATTTCCCTGAAAGCCACCGATCCTAGTCCCCTGATACGGTTATCTTGAAGATACAGTTCCTGTGTGTCTGGATGTAGTCTCCGAGGGATGTCATAGAGGCCTCGACCCCGACAGTCCACCACTTTAGTGTTGCTGTTGCAGCTGCACTCCTTTGGACAGGCATGTGACAAAGGCAGGGAGGAGAGGAGTGCACACACCAAAATCACTGTGGAGACACAGGAACGAGACATTACAACGCCACGTGAGTGCGTACTACTTTTATCTAATTTGAATTTAATTTATGGTTTCAATTTCATTGCTCCCACGTACTGGTATGCGTAATTAACTACCATAGTTTCAAAGTTTCCCATGTCCGTGGTCACTCTCACATTTATTTTATTCCTACTTTACTTTGCTTTTATCCAGATGATTTTGTTTTTAAATTAAACTTATAACTAATGCGCACCACCAGTTCTTAGCAATAACACCTCCCCTCCCGCCCCCTTATACTGTGACCCCTGGTAACTTCACCAAAGCTTCATAACCCCTCACCCACACACAAATCTATACGCAGCACATACTGGGTGTCTGATTCCCTTTGAGATAACTTCACATGTCCATTCCTTCTGGAACATAACAGCATTATTTATAGCATTGGCTTGACTAGCTGGAGGCTCAATGAAATGAAGCTCGGACCCAAGTCTATGAGTGTAGCTTGCTCATAAGTTGCATCATAGCTGTTGCATAGGTAGAAAAATTGTGCCATGTCTGTTATTATTTATCAAATTACTAAATCATTTTGATAAATGTTTCCTCTTACTAATTCCAATAAATGTTTTGTAAGTGGGAATTCATGGTGATTCCTTAAATTTGTCTCTGTTTTTTTTTTCTGTATAGGCCGGCAAGATTGCCGTTGACTCGTCCGTGATGATGAAACCACTGTAAAGCTATTCAGAAGTCAATACTTTTTCTACTCACACATTATGAAACAAGTTCTCCTTCTCACACCCATTTCATTTGTAACCCAGCGGTCGTGTTTCTGTTTGTGACCCTTTACTGACCCCTCAAAACTGTGTACTCAGTTGGAATAATCCGTGGTCTGGTCTTCTGATAGATGGCAAAGTTTGCTTTGTTTGTGTCTCTTTTTTTCATTTGCTGCGTGAGCGGAGTGTGTGGGTTATCAGCAAACATGCTTTTAAATTCGCATATAAAATCACTTGCACAAGCACTATAACATATAAACCCCTCCTCAGTGTAAAAACAAAAGTGATTTCATTGTGGCATGAATTTTTATTCATTTCTACAACCATTTAGCAGCCTCCAGAAATGATCTAAACACCCTCTTGGGGTCGTGACCCCCAGCTTGGGAATGAATGGATTAAATGACACCTATTTACTGCACAGTCTGCTCTTTGAAGCACCTGGGCCACGGAAACCACAACTCTTCTTTGAACTTGAAGAAATATGTTACAAAACAAGTACCGGTACTTTTACATTTCTCTTAATTCCCCCAGCAAGCATTGCAGATTTCCTGTCAAGTTCAACACAAGAAGTTCGCTTCTTGTGTTGACTGGGAATCTTTTAGGTCATTTGGGTCATTTGGTCTTCATAGCATGTACATAAAGAAATGTAATTACAAGGGCTTTTTATTGTGCATTAGTTGAAAAACAAACTCTCAAGTGTACATATAGACATGGCATGAGCCAAGATGGGCAGTATAACAGGAGTTATGAAATGAGGTCAATACAAAGGACTGGCTTTTTGCTGTTGTGTCCCTTCATGATAAAGCCGATAACAAGAAGTCTGTAACGACATGCCCACATTACCCATAACAGTTGCAACTGTGAATAACCTCAACTGTCAATATCACGCTAATTGCAACGTGTAAAAAAAGAATCAATGCTGACCTGATATGAAGCAGTTAGTGTGGAAAAGTGATTATAATTTTTAATTTAAGTTACAAATCCTGATTAATGCCTCATAACCCTTGCACACCCACATAGAAATTACACTCACAAAACAGCAACAATGGAGATCCTACCTCTCATTTCTGCCAGTTTCTGGGCCGTGTTGTGTTCAGGGTTCTTTTAGCTCCCTTTTGGTATTGCAGTGAGTCTCAATGGTGTAGGGTCCATTTGTCGTCATTGAGATTGAGATCGTCTGGTCCCGGCTCTCATTCGGTTGGTCTGGTCAATGGGTGGGAATTGGAGAGCAAAAAGAAAAGCGGGAGAAACCAGCGTTGCCCTCAGGTTTCCCAGCAGTGCCTGCGAGGGCATGAAACCCCATCAGAGCAGGCAGATCAGAGCGCTAGCTCACTGCCAGCCAGTCTGGAAATCACTCGAGTTCGGAGCTCTTCCTCTCTCTCCCTCGCTCTCTTCTTGTCTATCTCTCTTGCTCTCTCTATCTCTCCTTTTGTTGCTCTCTTACTATCTCCCAAATCCTCACATGGCTTCCTGAATGATTTTGTTCATAGTGTTTGCTGTTCTTAGTACGTTGCCATTTCTCATGACTAGAATTTGTTGTTCTATTGACACCAAATCAGCACTTGGCCCTGTCTGTCTTTCTCTCTGTTTTGCTCACTCGTCACCCCTCACCCCTCCTCCTCTATCCCCAGTTGCATTGGTGTATATGATGGTGTGTCATCTCCCTCTGGACAGCTGTGCCTCCTAAATCATAGCACAAACACATTCACCAACATCCATGTTGCACCTCCTGTTACTCTGGCAAGAACTGAACAAGACAAAATTAGATTGGGAATGCAGCGAGGCAATAAAAATACTCATGCACTTAAATTCACAATGCCTATTGCTGTGGCACGCTTTGATAATATTATGCATAAGCCGTGGGCAGAGGGGCTGGCAGAACACGCCCTCAGCACAGCAACGCAGCTTGCACAAATGCACATGTTGGTGCACACATACAGTTCGACATTGGGAAGCTGCAATAAATGTTCTTGGATTTTTGCTTTACTTTTTTTTTCCTTTTCATTGCTCATTAAGAGATTGACTGTTAGGCTGATGTTACTGCACAAATCCTAGTTGATATTAAGCTGTTTTGATGCTTGCTAGCTCACTCTGGTTTCTGGGTATTTGCCCTTCTGTTTGACAACATCCTGTTCTGTTCTGCTGCTTGTTGTGGGTCTACTATTTGCTTCCTTCCCCATCTGTAAAAATAACTTACAAATGGAACACAAGAGGACATATTAGACTTGAGCAATGATCTTTCCAGTAGTTTTAAAATGTGTATAAACATATAGAGAATAGACTGACAATAGCTGCATTTCCATTACAAATGTGTGCAAATCTTTTGTGTGTGTTCTGCAAGACGTAAAGTTCTATTTTTGAACTGTGAGAGAAAGCCGAAGTACCCAGAGAGAGCATATGTATGCACAGGGAGAACATGCAAACTCCATGCAGAAAAGACCGTAGACTGTCATCCAAAGCATTGAGTCAGTTGAGCTGAATAGAAATTCAATCCACACTTTTCAGGAGAGGGGGTGGGGGTTGTACAACAAAACCCCATCACATTTTATTAATTTATTTCACAATTATTAAAATGGTTTGCTCTATTTGCTTTTAAACTAATAAAATGTGAATAAGTGCAAAGGGTTTGAAAGCATTTGTACGGTGCTGTAGTACATTTATTCTATCCTTACTAGATTCCTAAATCAGTAGGCTGCAAACCAGTTGTCATCCCCCCTGCCTGGGACAGAACTGATTGGAGATTGGTGATGGGATGGATTTAGGATGGATTTTCTGTCTCTTCATCTTTATGCTCATAAACCCAGCTCAGCGCCTAAATACTTTCAGGTTCTTAAATCAGTCATACATAGGGAAATTAAATGTTCATACGTGGAACAAAAATAATTTCCGTGTCTTAGTGGAATGGATTTGAGCTTTTGTGTTGAATTGTCATCCCTGTGCATTCTAAATATCAGTGTTGTTATTACCGCCATCGCACAGAACGAAGCCCTGAAGCTACTGTTGTAGATTTATGCTCCAACCATTAATTTATTTCCTTAATGAATGTGTTGTTTCTTCACTTCAAATGCCACGTGGAATAGATTGCAAGAATTCACCGTTTTCCTGTCTGACGACTCGGTGTCTGTAGTCCTTCTTATCAAGCTCTACCTTTTTCCATCTCTCATGTTTCCATTCCTCTTGCCCAGCATCTTAAATTAGCCTCTCCTCCCGGGTTTTTCATGTGGGTGTAGAGATGGTGGGCTGCCCAAAGGATCTGGCAAAGCTTAGGATGGGATAATCTGCACCTGTTCCTATGGGCAAGAGCTAAAATGGGTCACAGTAGCACCACACCACGTGAAAACATTCGCACAATTACGTCGTCGGTACACTGGGAAGTGAAAACACATTTTAAGCTTGTTTTTTTATTGTGAAAATGGTCAGCCTGAAGAATGCAAATAGATCTGTTGATTGTTTCACCCAAAGTTTATTTAACCTTAAATGTCATACATACTGTAACAAGCTGTGAAGGGATTTACCTCTCTGATGTAAGTAAAAGTCTCCTTCAGGTTTTATCTAGATCTGAATTCCATTCAGGGTTTTTAAAGCATGTCTGCCAGAGACTGGAACTCTATTTGTTCATCTGAATGCATAAAGTATTGAATGCTGTCGGTGCCAAATTCCAAAATTTGGCACCGACAGCATTCAGAAGTTGCTACATGTGTTCGTTATTAAGGTGGGAGTTCAGCATTCAGTCAAGCTCTTTTTGTAGAAGACCTCCGGTTGTGTTGGAATCAGTAATGAATAATATTGTCAGCTTTTTTTTTAAAACTTGGCTAACTGGAATATACGGAGGAAAAATTCTAGTTGCAATTCAGTCTTTGCCTTAAGGAAAGGACTTCAAGTACCTTGCTGTCATTTTCACAAATGGCATTCTTCTATCCATACTGACCACTCAAATAGGACAGATTAAATCACTGTTGTGTTTTACTGATGACAATCCATGTGAATGCAACAATCTATTTTAATTTGCTTAGTTTCCTCTTTTCATTTTTGTCTCTGAGTGGAGAGAGTGGCAATTGCTGTTTCTACAGCAGTTTTACCAAAATAACAAATTGATCGTCCCTGCTTATGGCAATAATTCATCTCCAAAGTATCTGTAAAGTTTCTCAAATTATAAATGTTGGCATCATATAGCCAATGACTGCATTTTAAATCCTGTTTATTTTTATTTTAGTAAGGTTTTTCCATTTATCCTATCAAATCTGCTATTGAAATAAATCTTTGTCAGAGAAAGTAATAGATTCTGCCTGTTGCAAATGTATCTCTTCTTTTGCAGCAAAATCTGAGCAATGTGTCATATTTCACAACAAACTATAACTAACAATAGTAATAACTAACCTCATATGAAGAACTTACACATAACAATTTGACCAAATCCAGGAAAATATGCTAACATATTGGTAATTTGCAGTCCACTTGTCCATTTGGTCCAAGTTAGGAAGCAAGTGTTTGTTCACTATTTTTTTTTCTTTTTTTGGTTTGCATGTTATATTGCATTCATACTATGTTCTTAATGCTTTTTTTGTGATTTTAACTTTAATTTATCGTTTTGCATCTCTTTCAGCTGTTGGCATCCAGATGAAGTTGGAGTTTTTCCAGAGAAAATTTTGGACAGCCAGCAGACAGGTACCTACTGACATGATGCTCATCCCATGATTGAAGTACAAACACGTTTTCAAATCTAAGAACATAAACCAAAAACACAGAGTAAAAACTAGCAGGTTCTTGTTTTCCTCTAAATTCTAATCTTTCTTTTCCAAATTTCTGTCTTCTTTTTCTATGATCACCTCTTTTTATTATCATATTAATATTCAGTTCTGACTGACTGTCTGTCCTTTCATCTGTCCATCAGTTGACTTACTGCAGGAGACAACATTCAACATAGTGTCAGGCCCGGTTCACAAGGAGTGGAGCATTTATAAACAATAAAGAAAAAAATTTGCATCCACAAAACAGGATGCAGCGCCACAGAAAATGATGAAGCAGCTATGCCGGGCCAATCTGTGGTGCTTTAACACTGATTGGCCTGAGTGATGTCATTTTTGCTATTTGTAAGAGTGAGGCAAATGCAGAATAGAGAGAGACAATAAGGTCGATTTTTTATTTTATTTTAACCAACCTCATCATTTAAAAAAAAAATGTGGCTCGCATGAAAGCCACATCCAGAGTGGATCTAAAATGTATCCACTCTGGAACCTGGTTTCAAACATGATCAATTCTGGTCTGTGAAGATGCCAAATCTGTGTGGATACTCGGCCTGAGTTACTTCGGCAGTTACACCTAAACTCGTCTCCGCGTGGACCGGGTCTCAGTTTGGCGAAAATTAAGAATTTCTTAACGTCAGTCAAGTGAAAAATGTATCTAAATGAGTACAACAGACAAACAAATGAAACACTCAAAAGTCACTTAAAATACAATATTAATGCAATGGATTCATTGCTATGTGGAGTCATTGATAAATGTTCACTACTTAAAAAAGCAGTGACAATGTAAATAAATGTCTGATGCTGAAGTGATGTGATCTAAAAAAAAATCTGAAACATTGTGTTCATTGCTTCAATATAAAATGTTGAGGGATGAGTAATTTTTCAAAAGTTCTTATTTCAGCGGATGGCTGTTTTCCAGAGATCATGCAGGCCTATTTATTTTCAAGCTAAAACCCTGACAGCTTATTAGTTTCTTCCATAATCAAAATTACAAAACACATCCTCTGATGCATGTGTGGTAATGTGGAGCATTTCCAATACGGCATAAAATGCAGATTATACCTGAATGCTGCATTGCTACTTTTACTTTTTGAAATACTTGTATTTTTGCCACTCACAGTGTGAAATTACAGGCACTCTGGGCTCAGCAGAGTTTGTTTTTTTATCATCTCTGAGTAGATAGTTGCTTTGTTAGGTGTCAGACACCATTTGTCATTCCTTACTCTTTGTTACTACAAAATATGCCTTTAAATCTTCAATTTATGAACTCATATTTGAGCTAGAAACGTTGCCGTCACTGCTTCTTACTGAACTTGTTGCTACAATGAGCCAGTTATGTAACCTTTTTTACTGGCAATGAATTTATCACAACATCAGGGTTTGTTTTTTTTTTTTTACCTAAATAGTGGGTGAAGCAGAATGAGCACTGTTCAAAGCACTTTAACTAATTTCCCTACGAATAAAACACTGAGATATAGCAGTAAATGCAAGCAGTGCTCTGGTTTAGAAGATTAGGTTAGTACTTCCACACAGTAATTAAGTACAGAAAAACAGGAGGATTTCTTAAAAACAATGTTCCATCTACTCTGTCCTCTTGCAAGAACTCTTTTATTTTTATGTACCTGGAACAGCACCCTCTGCTGGTTTGCTTGAATTCAGATGTGTGAATCAGACTGAGATACTTTCTTCCTCTTAAGAGTCAAACTGCAGTATTCAGCAGCTTTCCTGCTTTGCTTGATTTGGTTTGATATGCAGAACAAGCACATCTGGGCATTTATTAGAACTGCGTTTGTCTAATAAGTCATACCTACAACATATGACAGCTTGCAAAGTCAGTTAAACTTAAATTTCTTGTTGCATTTTTAACAGATGACAATCATCACTCATTCACACATTTTTACCAGAGTAATTTTCCTCACCTTAAATGAATAAATATATTTTGTTTGTGTTTTTTTTTTGTTTTTTTTTGTTTTTTTGCAGTGTGCAGCATTAGATGGGAAATGCTCCATAAGCTGTGATGATGAGGTCAGACATTTTTCCTCTTCTCAGTCCATGATCTTTTGTGCGATGACTCTGCCCTAAACTATGTTTTCTAATTGACAGCACATCAACTGCTACCTCATTGACAACAATGGCTTCATTCTTGTAGCAGAAGACTACACACTGGTGAGACATACAAGCACGCATCTCGTTTTTGATGCTGTTGCACAGTCTGCTCTCGCTCTCTCTCTCTCAAAGTGCTGGTTGAGCATGTACCTTCTGCTTAGCTGTCACCAGACATGCTGTCATTCTGACTCTGGCTCATCCGAAGCATGTCCGCTGGCTGTCATTGCCCTTCTCTTCCCCTGCATGTCCTTTTTCTGCACCCGCCTTTGTGTTCATATGCTTAAACTTTTCTTATCTTTTTAATTCAATCATGATTTATTAAAAGTTATTATCTACTGTTTAGTCCTGATGTATTTTGAATGTATGTTCTCGCCATGCAAGTTTCTTGGTTCAGGGTGTTTTAAACTTTTTACATGTTGCTCTGAATGTACACGCTTTGGTATGTGGCCTTTATTCTTATTTAGGTGATTAAAACACACCAGTTAAAACGAATAACAATTAATTAATTAATAATAATTAATAACATTATTATTTATGCACATGATCTGGCCAAGAGGCCATTTAAAGAAAAGTTAGTCCCTCCAGGACATTGCAATGTTTTTGTGATTGTTGTGGCCAAAAAACTCAAGTGGAAATACATTTAACATAAATTGCATATAAAATTGATGCCGATGAAATCCTGGATAATATTTTCTCTGAGGAACCTTTGCATGGCAAGGTGGTCGCTTTAGGAGGAATGTTGACTCCGGTGCAGGTAGAAACCCTGTCTTCACAAATGCGAGTTAAATCGAATTCTGACATTGAGTCAAACTCAGCTTTAGCAAAGCGTTCATTTAACACACGCACCTGGGCTGTCACACTTAATCTACTTTTAATTATTTTTCCTCCAAACAAATGAGCAAACCCTGATATTTTAATTGTGTCTAAAATTTAAAGGGCTAATACCTAATTTTAATAACACTAATCACAAAAAGGTAGTTGGTTTGTAGATTGGTTCCTTTGTAATAGAAACCTATTAGTGACTGTTGTATAATTTACTTTGAAGCAACTGTAAGATAAAATCATAATAAATAAAATTAATTTGTTTGAACTAACTCTCATTTCCAGAAGTGTATTGCTGTCATGGAAAAAAAAAAAAAAAATAAGTTTTTGAACATGTTATGATAATTATTCTGTACAAACATGGAAATATATTTTACAATCATAATTATATTGTATAAATGTAACAATACATTGTGTGAATATGATCTTTTTTTGAATTAATGTGATAATTTCCTCCAGATGTTGGCAGTAGTATGCCTTTAGGTTGCACTGACAATGAAACTCAACAGAAGGAAGAAGCTGGCATATCGAGTTAATTTGGGATACATGTGGTGAGGAATGCCTGGCTGAAAATATGGACTGCTCGTTGTCTCGATTCCTACAGAAACCACATTGCGTGAATCTATATGCCACATGAAATTAGGGTTTAAATAAATGCGTTGCATGAGCTGCCTCCTTTTATCTCTGTTCTACACAAATGGGGAGAAAAAAAAACAGATATTTGATTGTACTCTGAGTAATAACACATCTATGTTGAACACATTTAAAGTGGAAAAACTATGAAGCCTCCCATAACTCTCCTATGAGGAGTTAGAGGATGGTCAATGAGGAAGGTTCGAGAAGAGAATCAAACTGATTTTTCCTTCTGTGCAGTTCTCAGAGTGTGCATGCTAATAATGACTTCATCCACGTTGCTCAGCAGCATCAGCATCTCTACATGCCTCCAACCAACCGTGAAATAAAACTTGACCAACTACTTTAGATTAGCCTCTATTAATGTGCATACACTGAAAGCATAATATTGCCATCATCTGGTTGAAATGACCATGTTTATACAATATAATTATCATGTTTATGGAATATAATCATCACGTTTATACGACATGATTATTATGTTTGTACAATATATTGTATTTGTAAAATATGAATGGTGCTATAGCATAACAGTGTTCAAAAATGTATTTTTTTCCATACACATTCAAATTTACAGTTACAAATTGATGTAGAAACATTCATCTGTCGGCACCAATATGACAATACAAAGCCACAGAAGTTAGTGAAAGCATCAAAAGTCATTGAAGAGAGCAGGTAATGTGTTACAAAACAAATGATCAGTTGTACCAAAAGCAGAACCTCAAACGATGAACTCATCGGCTTGTTTTTCAGGTAGCACCGATGCTACCTGAAAAACAAGGTAGGCGTTTCCATAAATGGTCCAAAATGTGCACTTTCAAATTCTGGAGTATAATAAACAATGCATATGGTATAATTGCTTATATGGTTAGATTTTGTATTAAAACTATTGCAGATGGGCAGTACTCTTTTCATTAAAGAACCTTTTGTCCTTTCTTTTTCAGACTGGAAATTTTTTTGGTGAAGCAGAAGGAGCTGTAATGAATAAGTTGCTGCAGATGGGCTCTTTTAAACGGTAATCCATGTGTGCGTCTGCGTGTGTATATTTGTGTGCACTTGGAAGTTCAAGCCCGAGTACATGCATAAGTGTGAGTGAATGTATATTTGTACAAACATGTGCAAAAAAAAAAAAAATCAAAAGGCAGGTTGCAAAATGAGGGCATGTCTCTTTTCGTGTGGACAGCTCTACATGTGGCAAAGCAAATCTTTATTCCCTGAGACAAAAGAATTAAGAGAAAGTTCAATGCATACATTTCCACACCATACACACATCCTCGCAAACAAACAGCATGTGGACAAACATACTGTTCTTGTCAAGAACCTCTATCTTGGGGATCTGTATTTTCAGATTTAGCTCCGGGACACCTTCCCTGGTGTTCCACAGCAGAGATGCCCACAAGCCAAAAACACGCAAACTTTAGTTGTAATATAAATCAGTTGTGGAATGATGTGAAATTTGTGAAATCTTTGCCTAGTTACAGAGCTTTGCGTAAATTAGTATTTCACTGAAGCTTGCAACCACATTCCCAAGCCTGCAGCAGGGCAGTACCCTCCATTCCTTTATACGTATGGGACGTGGGTGAGGGGGAATTTCTCTGTGTAAAACTGCAAATCATTGCATAATTGCAAAACCCAGCCCATAGTTTATAAAAATGAACCCTTAACATCAGACAGCTAATAGTTTACAGACCAATCCATAAAAACAAGGGCCCTACAAGTGCTTTCTCAGAATCCTTAAAGTTGGTTGGAGACGGATTTTTGAAGATTGAGGAAGACGTATGTTGAAGGAGTAACATGACTTGTTTTGTCATGTTGACTTTGTTGTGTAAAGGCTCTGTTAGCATGATGAGTAACAGAGCCTTTAGATCTAAACACTGATGAATCCAATATATCTGTCAGTTTTGTGTCTTGTTTGAAACAACATGTACATGTCAAATTCATTAGTTAAGCTTGACACAAACTGTCAGCTTGAACTTATTCATAAGCCAAAATCAATGCTTTTGATACATTAGAAAAAATAGGTTACTGCTTCAACAATTGTTTAATTAAAGCAAGTATTCAGATGATATTTTCATGAATTCCAATCAGATTTCTGCATAAGAGGACCTCAACAACTGCTGATGAACACATATTTTGTATGGTTTTACCTTACAAAATATTATTTCCCTACAGTATGTTTTTTCCACTTAATTTTGTTAAGAATTCCAAGTTCTATAGGGTAACCACATTGTTCAACCTAAACAAGTAGTTAATCATGTAATGAATCTATTAAATCTCAATACAATAACTTGAATTCCTTTGTAAAAAAAAAAAAAAACTCCTAAAATTTACCGCTCAGTTTTGTCAAAGTATTTTTGTAAAATTTACACCACATTTTATTGGTGCTACATGGTCTGCAGTATCGTTTGTGATTTCACCAACCACCAACAAAGATGATCACGGTGCGCGTTAAGCTATATTTTCTTATTTTAATATTTCTTCTCCATTAGTTTTTGGACAGTCTTTCTTGACCAACTCCAGTGTTAACTGCACTTTGATTAAATTGATCTGTCTTTGCACTTTATTTCTAGAGAACTGTTTTACTCTACACATACAAGATTTTTGCACAGGGATATATTTGCTGTGTTACTAGGCTAACGTTACTTTGTGGTCTCTCGGTTTTAATGTGACTTGTTGATAATTTAGCCCTACAAAATGTAGGTTTTCATTTTTTATCTAGTTAACAATGCGAGTTGTTGTCCTGCCGCTCAAACACATCACGTTGCTTGGTGTGTGCCAGTTATGTATGACGGTATTCAATGCTTCAGAACTAAACACGTTTGTTAAACTTAAAAACTACCTGACTATATCATCAATGGAGGTCAAGACTTTGAGAATCACTGATGTATACAATCTCGCTATTTTACATTAATTTAAGTAAGTTATGAACCAATTCATGTGGTCTTACTTATCACTAATTGGTTCTGGGCATCGTGTTGGGGCTGTGTATCATTAGTACTGCGACTGAGGTTTCAACATCGCCTGGGGCGGCAGATATATTGAACCCCACTCTGTTGTCACACATGTTCAGACTGCCATTCACACACACAAGTATATCATGTGTAAGAACTCTCCCAAAGGCTATTAAAAAGAGTATCCATTGTTCAAAGACAGGCTTGTAACCTTAGCAATAACCTCCTCCAGACGGAGCTAGATCTTACCCCCTCTGGGTTCACTAAGCCCTTAAAACCTCTGATATCCCTCCAATATCCCACAAATTATCCACACAAACAGACTTTTCTGAAATCACTGACAAACCTCTGAGGAAGTGCTCAGCTTTCACTTGCTTTGCTGCTTCCATTCTTTCTACACCCATCATGTGTAGTATTTGTAGGTGAAGCCGTTATTACAGAGGTGGGATCTTCTCTTCCATCCCCAACACAGCAGACTAAAACGCCCGTCAGGCATGTATTTGCAGATAATGTCTGAATCAAGATTCCTCGACAACTCAACAGAACTATGGAAAATGTTTTCTCTGATTCTATTTTGGATGCTCTGTGTCATCGTCCTGCTGTCTATTCTATATTTGTCTCCATAGTGTCACACTGTATGACTACCAGGCTCTTTGTTGGGTCCATTCAGAGAGTAGCGACAGTGGGCACACACTCCTGGATGTGAGTATTCTCCAGCCTCTATGTGTTCTACCCCTGTAGTAAAGTCCATATAGTACAATATTTATTGCTTGTGTCCAATCATTTCCCCCTAAACTCCCTCCCTCTTTTTTTCTTCTAGCCTTACTTCGCTTTCTTTGCAGCGGTAAAGTGGATCCTGACTGAGCTTGTCATGTAAGAGTCCTCACTGGATAATACCTCTTGTCTGTTTATGGGGTAACGCTATAAGCTTTGCGCATATATGTGGTTTCTGAAGTCTTGTATTTAGGCCTGTCTGCTCTGAGATTAGCTGTATGTTTGTGAGTATACTGTATATCTGTTGTGTATTTGTTTATGGAGGCCTCCACATGTACGTTGATGTGATCCTCTGTGATCATAACCAGTAATAGCTACCTGATGTTTCCTGCACCATGAGTATTTCTGTGATGCCACATTGTGGTTGTGGTTTAGTCCTGCTGGGTGGTCTGTCACTGCCACAGTGCATCATGGGAGTACAGAGTTGTCGGTACTCATTTTGTGTTTTAACAATAGAAGTAATTAGAGAAATGAGATAAATGTGAGGTATTTCCTATTTCTACAACCTATAGCTTAGACCTAAGAATAAGTAAGGCTGAAAACACATTAAAAAAAAAAAAAAAAAAAAAAATACTCTACAGTTTTTTACATTGCCCTGAATTTTTGGGAATTTTTTTTGGTCTAAT